CCCACGTGCTCGGATTCTGAAAATTTTCGGATGAAAACGTTACCCATAATCTCAAGAACTTAATTATATAATTTCTACCCAATCCATAACTATTTTTGTGGATAAAATCTTATTTTTATAAAAATCTAGGTTTTTCACCTAAACCCTTGATTTCTAAGATTTACTAGTTATAATTTACCCATAATCTATGTATTTAACTCAAAGGGTATAGAATTAACTTACCTTTAAATTGCTAGTTGAAACCCCCCCTCCCCCCTCAAAAACTCTGAAATCGCCCAGAAATGGAGAGAAAATGGGCAAAAATGGTGGATTCCCGTTCTTTTAAGCTTTCTGCCAAACAGGCCTTTCGCTCCGGCGGAGGTTGGAACGTACCTGCGGCTCCACATCTGCGGAAAATCCTCGCAGTTGCGAGTGCTACTCAACTGGCCAATTTTCGCATTTGCGCGTATAGCCTCGCACCTGCGCTTTCGCAAGTGCGCCCAATATTCCGCACCTGCGGTGGCAGGCCTCCCATTCCTTTTCCGCTTCTGCGAAGAAATCTCACATTTGCGAGTGTCGCGCCTGCGAGCTTCTGTCACATCTGCGAATGTCGCACCTGCGATTGGCCAAGCGCAGGTTCAATTCTGACAGTAGTTGGGAGTTTCAGTTTTGGCTCCCAACTTCCAACTTGGTCCGAGCCTCGTCCTATTAACACTCAGGGCCCCCGGGACCCCACCCGAACATACTAACAGGTTTGAAATCATAAAACGGACTCGCTCAAACTCTCGAAACGCGTAAAACAACATCAAATCTAAGAATCATACCCTAAACCAAATTGATTCAAATTTAAGAATTTCAAGTTGTTCAATTTACTTCCAATGCGCCGAAATATACTTAAACTACTCTGAATGACACGAAATTTTGCGTGCAAGTCTTAAATCACTATACGAAACTATTTCCATACTCAAAATTCCAAACGGACTTCAATTACTAAAAATCCTACTCCAAACCAAATTTAAAGAATTTTAAACCTTCAAATAGTTGATTTTTACTATTAAGCGTCAAAACGCTCCCGGGTTATCCAAAACCCGATTCGGACATACGCCTATTCCAAAATCAGCATACGAACCTATTGGAACCGTCAAATCCCGATTCCGGGGTCGTTTTCTTAAAATGTTGACCGAAGTCAAACTTGGCCTTTTAAGGCTAACTTAAGGTACCGAGTGTTCCGATTTCAACCCAAATACTTCCAAATCCCGAACCAACCATCCCCGCAAGTCAATAATCATTAAAAGCACATACGGGAAATTTTATTGTAGGGAACGGGGTTCTAAAAGTAAAAATGACCCATTGGGTCATTACAAAATCGCCCCAAAAATTGTGCTTGAAGGTCCAAAAATGGCAAAACTCGGAATCCCCCTCTGGTTTTAACATTCTATCCAGGATTGTCGCATCCACGGTGATTTCTTCGCACTTGTGGTCTTCGCACTCGCGGTGATTTTATCGTGCATGTGGTCTTCGCACCCGCGATGATTTCTTCGCGCCTGCGGTCTTCGCACCCGCAGCTAAAGTTTTCGCACCCGCGGTGCCTGGCCAGCCCATGCATTTTCCGCTTTCGCGACTAATTCCTCGCATCCGCGAGCTCGCACCTGCGGTCCTTTTTTGCGCAGGTGCGATCACACCAGTAGCCCAGCTGCTTCAACTCATCCTCCAAATTCGAATTCAATCCGTTAAGCATCCGAAACTCACCCGAGGCCCTCGGGACACCGTCCGAACATACCAACATGTTTCATAACATAACACGGACCTACTCTAGGCCTCAAATCATATCAAACAACATCAAAACGACGAATCACATCTCAAATTAAAAATCTATGAACTTTGAACTTTCAAATTCTATATTTTGTGCCGAAACATGTCAAATCAATCTGGAATGACTTTAAATTTTGCACACAAGTCACACTTCACAATACGAACCTATTTTATTTTCCAGAATCGGATTCCGACCCCGATATCAAAAAGTCAACCCCGGTCAAACTTCCCCAAAATTTATCTACGGACCTCCAAATAATTTTTCGGACACGCTCCTAAGTCCAAAATCACCGTACGGATCTATTGGAATCATCAAAACTCCATTTCCGGGTCGTTTACACATAAGCTGACATTCAGTCACTATTTTAACTTAAGCTTTAAACCTTGGAACTAAGTATTCCAATTCATTCCAAAACCTCACCGGACCTGAACCAATTACTCCGGTAAGTCACACAATAACTGTAAAGTGTAATTTAAGCAGAAAATGGGGAAGCGGGGTTATAATACTCAAAACGACCGTCCGGGTCGTTACATTCTCCCCCACTTAAACATACGTTCGCCCTCGAACGTGCCAAGAGTTATTTCCAAGCCATCAAATCACTGTTCCATCTTACCACACACGTACCCAGGGGTGAACCCATGTCACCTTATTCCATATGAGCTTGACAACACAATACAACTGGGGGGGTTGATTTAACTTTAGCCCATAAACCTTGGAATTTAATTTCCAACCTTTAGAATTTCTTTCAAGACACAAATCTTACATTTACACCCTGTATGAGTTTGAGCAAGCTATATCAAGCCATAACCATAACCATAACCACGGACATAATCACCTAACATATTACACAACTCGCATGCTCATAGCACAATTCCTGACCACAGTGACTACTCCAAAACCAACCAAATAGTAGTATTAAACCGATATCGAACCAAACCTCATCCCAAAACCTTCGTACACTGTTGATAATAAACGAAACATGTGAAAGTTCATGACCACTTACCAGATTAACAAGTCACGGAGCTATCTCGCCCCAACTAGAACCATAATCACTTTCTGAGCCGACACTTGAGTCGAGGGTCTACCGAAAACAACCTATTTATCTTTAAAAGGTAGGGGTAAAGTCCGCGTATATATTACCCTCCCAAGACCGTGGAATTGCATTGGGTTTAATGGCGTTGTTGTTGCTGTAGTATTTGAGAGAAAATGTCAGGCTATTAAGTCAGTTCCTTAGTCCTTTTTAGCCAATAGTGAACGTTATGCAAGTATATAGAGGATATTGGGCAAACAAGCCCTTAACTCTTGAACAATGAAAGAGCGACCTTGACTAGGCTAGAGATAATTAAGTAATCTGGGACCTAATTAAAATTAAAAAGATAAATGATACATAATTGAGATTGGTTAAAGGTTGTTTAATAATTCAAATAATGAATAAATAAATTTCAATTCAAATAAAATCTTTAGGATCAATTCAGGAGGAATTAATGGGTAAAAACGAGTATTCCGTATTCTTTTTAACTTTTAGATAATCTATATTATTTGAGCCGAGGGTCTTTCGAAAACAGTCTCTCTATCCAGGAGCGGAGCTAGAGAGCGAGTTACGGGTTCGGCTGAACCCCATAGCTTTGGTTCAAACTCAGTATTTATTTGATGAAATTCATTAAACGTATACAAATTATTAATTTAGAACTCAATAACTTAAAAATGATTAGAATCCCGAACCCATAAGTTTCAAATCCTAGGTCTGCATCTGTCTCTACCTTCCCATGGCAGGGGTAAGATATATGTACACATTACCCTCTCAAAACCTCACTCGAGGAACTTTTAGATAATCTATGCTATTGTCCCAAAAAGAATGATGGAATTTCTTAGGCTGCTTGACTCCATAATTTGATGAATCTACTTTTGATGTTTAATTATTGGTGAAATAAAATCAGCAGTGGATATTTCTGAGGAAGAGTGGCATAACACTTTAAGGACAAATTTGACAGGATCTTGGCTAGTTTCCAAATATGTTGGAAAACACATGCAAGCTGCAAAACGAGGAGGCTCTATTATTAATATTTCATCTATTGCTGGTTTAAATAGAATATCAGTGCGAGGGGGCATTGCCTATTCTTCCTCCAACAAGGCTGCCATGGATAGCATGACCAAGGTTATAATCTAATTTTTGGAATGATGCACTGTCCTTTTGAGTGCTGTAAAAATAGTGCATGTTTTGGTTGCTAGAAAATATAGTAGCTTTTTCAATCAAAAGGGGAAATAACTTCCCTCACTTAATAGCGAAAGTCATTTTCCCTAACATTATCTTTAGTGTTAGCTTTCATATATCACTATTTTACCCAATACATGAACATTATTATTTACTTACTACTCAAAAATTTGTTCAAACACTATCTAATTTGCTATAATATTATTATTATTATCATTCTTTAGTAAATAATTTTTAAGAAAATAGTTTCAGCTCTCCGATCAAACACCTAAATACATTTCCTTAAAAATGAAGTCCGTCATACAAAAACACCCCCCTAATCCTTTATTTTATGAAATGGGAAAGATGAAATCATAGTAACTCTTTATGAATTTTAATTTCTCAATCGCATTTGGTTCCTTTTAAGATTTCTCTCAGCTTTCTCTATTAGCATCCCTCGCTTCTAATTAATTTCTTTTAAAAAAAATATATTTTTCCTAATCAAGTGTTTCTTGCTTTTCTTTTCTTCATACGTTAACATTTTGATATATCTATACGTAAACTAACCTCGAAAAATCTAAATTGTTCTCTATATATTAATGAAAATTTGCAGGTAATTGCATTGGAATTGGGAGAACATAACATAAGAGTGAATGCAATAGCTCCAGGAATTTTCAAATCGGAGATTACTGAGAAATTATTGCAAAAAGATTGGCTAAAAAATGTAGCAACAAGAAGTGTTCCACTGAAAACTTTTGGAACCACAAATCCTGCTTTAACTTCACTTGTGAGATACTTGGTCCATGACTCTTCCAATTACATATCTGGCAACATATTTATTGTTGATTCTGGTTATACTCTTCCTGGTATCCCTATCTTTTCTTCTCTATAAGTTATACTCAGAGGTGGAGCCAGAATTTGATGTTTATGGGTTCTTAATTCGTAACCAAACTCAGCACGTCTCACTTATTGGGTTTGTAGTTAAATATTTATATATTTTTAATGAATTTTCTAATATAAATAAGAGTGTTACCCCACTAAGAGGTTGACAAGAGTGGGTTGCTCTAGTGGCGAGTACCCTCCACTTCCAACCAAGAGGTTGTGAGTTTAAGTCACCCCAAGAGCAAGACAGGGAGTTCTTGGAGGGAAGGAGCCGAGGGTCTATCGAAGCAATCTCTCTACCCCAAGGTAGGGGTAAGGTTTGCGTACACAGTACTACTCTCCCCAGACCCCACTAGTGGGATTATACTGGATTGTTATTGTTGTTGTTGTTGTAAATAAGAGTGCTACTGAGTTTGTTTGAACCCGTAAGCAATACTCTACGGCACTACCTTCGCCCCTCGCTATGACACTTGAAAGAAGAACAATATATTATTGATCATCAAGAAACTAATATCTTTGTACGTAGTTATCTATTTCAAAGAAATTATTATGATCTATTTCCTTCCATTTTTTGTCTTTTATTTTCATTCGTTAGGAAATGTGATGCATGTATAACATGAATTTTTTAATACAAATATAGAATGTTAATGAATTTGTTTGAACCCGTAAGCAATACTCTATATATGGAACTACCTCCGCCCCTGTTACGACACTTGAAGAAGAACAATATATACCGATCATCAAGAAGTACAACATTAATTAATTGCTGCTAAGATAGTTACCTACTCACTCGGGCGCCAACTTTCTACGATCAAATTTAGGACAATAAAACAAGTAGTGCAACCACATGTATCCATCCAATCAACTTTTGCCAATTGAAAGTTGAGTTTGCAAACTCATGTTTTGATAATTCTCAAACATACGCGTAAAAGTCTACTAAACCCCCTAATCTAGCTAGGGTTTAGGTAATAATATCTTCTTTCACACATTCAAACAGTTCAAAAAAAAAAATTATTGTTGTTCCTGTTGATTCAAGGAAGCTTTCTCGGTCATTTCACTGGATTTTGAGTTGGTTTTATTCTGAAATTGAAGTCAAGTATGTTGTTCATGCGCTGCTGAGTTCCACGTTTAATTCCAGACTTTATCTGGTTTGTTTTTCAGCAATTTTCCTGCTATTAGGTATGTTACACTCATGCATGAGCTGTTTTTGAATTCATAAATGAAAAATCTGAATTGTTCGTCCTATGTTTGAGTATGATTTTGTAGACCTAGCATGTTTAGCCATCGAGTTAGTTTAATAGTTCATTCTCGATCTTTCTTTTACGATTATATAGTTGAATACTATATTCGTTTGCTTCTGATTAGTTGTTTAGCTATTTCATTTTAGTTTAATAGTTCATTTTAGTTCCTTCTGTTTCCTAAGCAGAAGATCGTAGGTCTATAGTCATTGAGTTGGTCTCTGGGTTAATTGGCAATTGGAGTACTCGAATGCTTAGACCATTTTATAATGTTTAAGAAAGGTTTGTTAAATTGGACGAGTTGTTGTTTGTTTTAGTTTGCGTAGAAACAAGTTTAGTAGGCAGTGAACTTTTGATAGTTAATTTGAATTAGTGGGCCAAAATCAGAATCATCGGGCCCAAGATGAATAAGTTAGCCCATTTCTTATAAATTAGTAGATCATCTGAATCCTTCTAGAATAGTAAGATAATAGAATTTGCTAATAATTCCAATAACCGAATCATACCATTTCTATCCATAATAATATCCATAATCAATGGCCTTGCACAACGAATCTCAAACTAGTTTAGAAAATAATTAACTTATGAATATCGTAGAATGCTTTAGGCGCGTTCTAATCTATTATCGTGATTGTGTACACGTTCGCGTGACATAATTATGATTTTTACGAATAAATCAAAGTACGCGTTCGCGCGACTTTGGCCGAACAATCTTAATAATTAATAAAGCGTGATTAATCGTGTACACGTACGCGTGACACGATTTTAGCGCCCCAAATAAAGTGGATATACACACATGTGATCCGTTTTAAAGATAAATCCATAAACGCCATAATTAAAAGCGGTAAAAGATAAAACGCACACCCGGAGCAATACTCTTTCTCCAATCATCAATGAAACATCACGAACCTTACGATCGGTATAACTCTTTTGCCTAGACTGAGCTGTGCGAAGTCGATCCTGGATAACCTTGACCTTATCCAAGGCATCCTCTACCAAATCAATACCCAACAACCGAACCTCCCCCTGTTCCAACCAACCAACTGGAGAATGGAATCGCTTCCCGTATAATGCTTCATACGGAGCCATCTAAATGCTCGACTGGTAGCTGTTATTATTCATTTTCACTAGTGGTAGAAATTACCAAGATATTAGAACGTGTTCGGGGTGAGAAAAAAAAAAGGAAACTAAGGAGACCAAGACGTCTCAAGGTTCTGGGGGATTCAGTGGATTCTACTCTGCGAGTATAAATCATTATGGCGGGGGCTCGAGTAGTCGGCCAGCCCAGTTCGCACATTGGATTAATCGAGGTGCTCCAGTAAGTTCTTTTAATGCACCACTAACATGAGTTTCCTACAATGGTTATCCCAGTTATCTGGCACAGACTCAATATGTTCAAATGAAGGACCTTATGAAATGAATCCACAAGAAAAAATGGAAAGAGTCACATACCAGATATCGAAGCAAGACGGAGCTTAAATCTGAGTTATGAGCGAGGTAGATTCCTTAATTCTGATCCTTGATATTTGATCTGTGTACGTGATTAAAATGTTTTAGGATTTTCTTTCGTTTCTTTTGTTTTTGTGTTTTTGATTTTGTGAGAGTTGTTAAGTGTTCTTGTGCGAGTGGGATTGACAGTATGCGAAGGGTTAGGGATTTATACCTGGACGTTTTGCGGTGGGCAAATGGTCGCATAACACATTATGCGGTCGCATATGTATTATGCGATAATTTTAGAGCTGGGTTATTTACTTCCATTCTGTGATGCATTCTGCGGTCGCATAATTGCTATGCAGACCAATGAACTTGAAACCTTACCACAATTTGCAAACCCAAATTCCCCAAATTCTCTGACCGTGTCAGCAACCACTATGCGGTTCACAAAGTCATTATGCGACCGCATAGTTGCCGCAAACCCCTGATCCACCATTTTATTTTACTCTGTTTCATGGTATATTGGGCTACCTGCACTCTAATACACACGTCAACCTGTTCAACACTAACAACTAAAAAAAACATGTTACCACACATGGGTTGCCTCCCAAGAAGCACTTGATTTAACGTCGCGACACGATGATATTGGTCCCTTTTGGGCTACTCAGTGGTGGGGGTGGACTATCCTTGAGAGCAAATTGCTCTACCAAGTGATTGTCTCCTGTTGTGCCCAGGTAATGCTTAACCTGTTGGCCATTTACTTTGAAAGTTCGAAGTCCGTCCTCCGACTCTAATTCAATAGCACCGTAAGGGGACACATTCACAATTTTGAACGGGCCAGACCATTTGGATTTGAGTTTGCCCGGAAATAACTTGAGTCTCGAGTTGAAGATCAAGACCAAGTCACCAGATTTGAATTCCCACTTCAAGATCTTCTTGTCATGAACAAACTTCATTCGTTCCTTATACATGGTTGCACTCTCATAGACATGGAGACGGAATTCTTCCATTTCGTTGAGTTGTGTCATTCTCAGATTAGTAACTTCAGTCCAGCCAAGATTCAACCTTTTCAGAGCCCACATGGCTTTGTGTTCAAGCTCCACGAGAAAATGACACGCCTTACGAAAGACTAACCGGTACGGTGAGGTGCCAATAGGAGTCTTAAATGCGGTGCGATATGCCTACAATGCATCATCTAGCTTCCTTGACCAGTCGGTCCTGTTTGCATTGACCGTTTTTGCTAGGATATTTTTAATCTTCCTGTTGGAAACTTCAAATTGACAACTCAACTTAGGATGATAAGGAGTGGCCACCTTGTGCTTTATGCCATACTTTTCGAGTACCCTGGTGAGAGCCTTGTTGCAGAAATGAGAACCACCATCACTAAGGATAGCCCGGGGAGTACCAAACCACGTGAATATGTTCTTCCTTAAGAATGCGGTCACACTCCTTGCCTCATTGTTGGGCAAGGTGATTGCCTCAACCCACTTGGAGACATAGTACATACCCACCAAGATATATGTCATTCCATAAGAACTCACAAAGGGACCCATGAAATCAATCCCCCACACATCAAAGATCTCGACCTCCATTACAAAATTCATAGGTGTCTCATGAGTTTTAGAGATTGATCCTTACCTTTGGCATTGATCACCAGCCTTGACCATTTGATTCGCGTCATGGTAGATCTATGGCCAATAGTAGCCACATTCAAGCACTTTTATGGCCGTTCAATTTTCTCCGTGATGACCCCCAACCGGGGAGTCATGGCATGCCTTGAGAATTGGCATTACCTCATCTTCCAGAACACATCGCCGAATGATGTTGTCGGTGCAAATATGAAACAAGAATGGCTCCTCCCAATAGTATTGCCTACACTCCCGCAAGAACTTTTTCTTTTGATATGTTTCCAATCCATTGGGGACAAGGTCGCTATCCAAATATTTAGCAATATCGGCATACCAAGGAGCAAACATGTCAGACAATGCAAATATGTGCTCATCTGGAAAAGCATCATTGATGTCAAAGTTCTCTTTTGGCCTCCCTGTTTTTTCAAGCCTAGATAGGTGATCCACAACTTGGTTTTCTGTCCCTTTTCGATCCTTGACTTCAAAGTCAAATTCTTGCAACAAAAGGACCCATCAAATCAATCTTGGTTTGGCATCCTTCTTCGCCATAAGTTAGCGAAGAGCAACATGATCAATGTAGACTATCACCTTGGATCCTAACAAATAGGCCCGAAATATTTCAAAAGCATAGACAATGGCAAGAAGTTCTTTCTCGGTCACAACATAATTCATTTGAGCACCATTGAGTGTCTTGCTTGCATAGTAGACAAGATGAAGGACTTTGTTATGCTATTGACTAAACACCGCCCCAATAGCGACACCACTGGCATCACAAATGAGTTCAAATGGAAGGGACGAATTGGGTGTGGCAATAATAGGTGTCGTGGTAAGCTTTTCTTTAAATTCTTCAAAAGCTTTGAGACATTTCTCATCAAATACAAACTTTTCATCTTTTTCAAGGAGCTTGCACATGGGATTTGCACTTTTTGAGAAGTCCTTGATAAAACGCCTATAGAAGCCGGCGTGTCCTAAAAAACTTCGGACACCTTTTACTGAAATGGGTGGAGGAATTTTGGAAATGATTTCAATATTTTCTCGGTCAACCTCTATGCCTTGTTTGGAAATTTTATGGCCCAAAATAATGCCCTCGTCCACCATGAAGTGGCACTTCTCCCAGTTTAGCACAAGATTTGTTTCTTCACATCTTTTGAGAACTTGTTTAAGGTTATCAAGACAATGCTCAAAGGAATCACCCACTAGAGAGAGTCATCCATAAACACTTCTAGGAAGTCTTCCACCATGTCCGAGAAGATTGACATTATGCATCGTTGAAAGGTAGTCGGGCATTGCATAGCCCAAATGGCATACGGCTAAAGGCAAAAGTACCATATGGGCATGTGAATGTTGTCTTCTCTTGATCTTCCAAGGCGATATTGATTTGGTTGTAGCCGGAATATCCATCCAAGAAGCAATAGAATAACCTTCCCGCTAGCCGATCAAGCATTTGATCAATAAAAGGCATTGGAAAATGGTGTTTGCACGTGGCACTGTTGAGCTTTCGATAATCCATGCAAACTCTCCATCCGGTCACAATTCTCGTCGGGATGAGCTCATTTTTCTCGTTTTGGATCACAGTCATGCCTCCTTTCTTCGGCACACATTGCACCGGGCTCACCCAAGAACTATCTGCAATGGTGTAGACTACCCCAGCATCTAGCCACTTGATGATCTCCTTCTTCACCACTTCTTGCATTGAAGGGTTTAACCTTCTTTGATGCTCCACACTCGGTTTACTTTCTTGCTCCAATTGTATCTTGTGCTCACAAATTCCGGCGGGAATCCCTCGGATGTCCTCTATTGTCCACCCAATGGCTTGTCGGTGCTCCCTTAAGACATTCAACAATTGATCTACCTGCACATCATTCAACAAAGAAGAAACGATTACCGGTAAAGTATCATTAGAGCAAGGGAATTTATACCTTAAGTGCAGTGGAAGTGGCTTAAGTTCAAGTTGTGGCGGCTCCATAATTGAAGGCCTGGCGGGGGGTATGACTCTATTGTCTATGTCAAGAGAGAGTTTCTTTGGCGCATAAGTGTAGGACCCAGGTCCTTCTAATGCATTCACCGATTCCATGTACTCTTCCATGTCTTCACCATAAAAATTCACCAATATAGCCGCCAAAGCCTCACCAAGGCATTCTTCTTCCATCTTTATCTCAATTGCATCTTCTACGTCATCCACAACATCGATGGCTGATATGCTTTCATATGCATGTGGCAACTTCATACCCTTACTTGGTTGGAAGGTGACCTCTTCATCATTAACTCATAACTTGATCTCATTTCGTTCCCAATCCATAAGTGCTCTTCCGGTAGCAAGGAATGGTCTCCCCAAGATGATAGGGATTTCTTTATCAACAGCCCAATCAAGGATCACAAAATCAGCAGGAAGGAGGAACTTTCCCACTTTCACAAGGACATCATCAACAATCCCCAACGGTTTTTTGATTGAACGATCGGCCATTTGCAACCTCATACTTGTAGGTCTAGGCATACCTAACCCCGCTTGCTTGTAAATAGCAAGAGGCATCAAATTAATGCTAGCCTCATTATCACAAAGTGCCCTTGCAAAATCTCGCAAACCAATAGTGTATGGAATGGTGAAGGCTCCTGGATCTTCTTTCTTTTGAACGGTAGTTGTTGCAATGATGGAACTAACCCGGTGAGTCACATTCACCACTTAATTCTTGGTGGTTTTCTTCTTGGTTATTAGGTCCTTCGAGTGTTTAGAAAAACCCGGCATCTCTTGAAATGCCTCCACAAATGGATGTTCACCGATAATTGCTTGAGAATGTCATAGAATTTCTCAAGTTTGCGTCATCAACTCCCCTAACAAGTCTTTGAGGGAACAGAGGGGAGGGGGGGTCTAGGAATTGGTGCTAGAGCTTTAGGTGCCTCTTTTACTTTTTCTTTTACCTCTTCACGGTTCGCTTCTTGGACTTTCACTTCTTTTGGGAGCATTTCAACTTCAATAGCAACTGGCATCTCAACTTGTGCCTCACCCTCTTGTTCAAGATCATCCACTTCAACTATTAGTTCATTCTTTCCTTGAAGTATTTTCCACTTCGAGTTGTGATTCCCATACAATGAGAAGTAGGGCTACTCCCATTACCTTTTGGGTTTGCAATAGTGTCACTTGGGAGTGCGCCTTTTTGATGTGGATTTTGCTCTTTTGACATGTCTCTCATTTTCATTTCGAGCTTTTGTATGGATGCAGTGTGTGATCCCACAAGTTCGGCCATGTTCTTCATTGAAGTGTCGTTTCTTTCTTGATTTTGCAATACTCTTTCAAGCATGTTATCCAATTTTGACTCACTTGCATAACCTTCCCTCCAATGCGAAGGGTTAGAGTATTGGCCCTTTGGTGGAACATAGGGGTTTGAACTCCGGTTTGCATAGTTGTTGTTTTTGTTGCTCCAATTACCTTGACTTGAACCACCTTGATAATTCCGCCACTGTTGATGGCCTTGCCCTTGCGGGTTAGGCCTCCATTGATTTTGTTGTCCAAGACCTTAGTAGGATTGTCTTTGGTAACCACCTTGAGAATTATGGATATAGTTTACCTCCTCGCAATCTTCGTTTGACAAGGGTTGCACATCTTCCACTACATTTACCTTTTTTGTTTGGTTTTCAGTGAACATCTTGGTTAACACATTAATGTTGGTGGCAAGCCTGGCAATTACTTTATCTCTCTCTTGGTTCTCCTTAATCATGTTGGTCAAAGAGGGAGTACCGTATGCAATTCCACCCGTGGTATCTTCCAAGTGTCAAGCTTGATTGTGTTCTGCCATCTTGTCAAGAATTTGTGTGATCCTTGTGAAAGTTTTGTCCATAAAAGATCCATCCGCCGCATTCTTTTCTATGGATTGGTTCAACGGATCCAAACCCATGTAAAACTTTTCTAACAAGATTGTGTCCGGAAAACCATGATTCGGTGACCTCACTAGATATAGCTTGAACCGATCCCATGCCTCATGTAGGTGTTCCCCCGGTAGTTGTTTGAAGAAGAAAATTTTATCTCTGAGCTCGGATTTCTTGCTTTGTGGGAACCATTTGCCTAGGAAAGCACAGACTAGTTCAGGCCAAGAGTGAATGGAGTGAGGTGGTAGATTTTGAATCCATTTCCATGCCTCTCCAGCTAGTGAGTACTTGAATAACCTCAGTCTTAGGGCATCATTTGACACGTTGTTCTGTTTGTGCATCGCATACACACCCAAGAAGTTTCTAAGATGTTGTGTCGGATAATCATTGGTAGAATTCCTGAAAAACCCCTCTGCTTTAAGCATTAGGATCAAACCATGTTCCACCTTGAAGGTAGCAGCATCAACTTGCGGAGGGACAATGACATTTGTGTCCTCGATGTACTCATCAATATCCGCAAAAGTATTCTCTTCTTCGTCATACTCTGCCATATTTATCTAGCACACCAAGCAAAGCAAACAAAGTGTGATGGA